TTGTAAAATTTTTGTTCCAAACCGTCTGTGCCATTATTTTCTGCGTCTGCAAAATTAGCTCGGAAAGTTGTCCACTGAACTGGGTTCTACGTCAAGGAGGTCATTCCGCTTCTAAAGACTTTATAGAGTCTTGGTGTCTGAACATGAAAGTTCGAAAAGAAACAAACCACTGTTTCATTATTTTTTTTTTCACATTCTCTGATTTTTTATTTCCATTAATTAATGTTTTTAAAAATTGTTTTCTTTTCTTCTTCTGTTTTTCTACTCTGGGGACGTTGTTCGCCATCTTATTACGCCTTATTATGGTCCATTCGAAAAAAAATAATGAGGAATTGAAAAAGAGAAATCGAATGAAAAGCATGAACTGAAAATAGAACTGAAAATTTATATTCCTTTTTAGAAGAACACATTTGTGTTACCGTTTCACTTCAAGCAAGGCAATAAATCCACTAAGACGCAAGAGGTTACTGAGAGAAAAAGAAACCGAGAAAATGTTATTGAAGAGAAATTATAATTAAAAAAAGCCGGGTTCAAAAACGAACGAAAATAACCGACGATTAATGTTGAATTTAAATTTTTGATAGTCGTAGCTGAAAGAAAGCTAAAAACAACAAGAGAGTTTCACGGACGAGAAATGTGAGTGAAGAAACTATTAACATAGAACTTACGGTTGCATCAAGCATTTTCAACAGTAAATTTATGAAACGTAACTGTCGATCTACTACTAGTACGCTTAAGTCGAAGTATCAAAGAGAAAAGTTCGTCATAACAATTATCATTAAATATTTATAGAAAAGACAGCGAAAAAAGATAAAGGTGCTGGTTAAATTTGGTGATGTCAACGAACAATTATTTGACACTTTTGTAATGTCAACGAATACTTGTTGTCACTTTTCGGGTAGTAGAGCCTTTGTAATCGCAGATACAACAATAGCACGCCGTTGAACAATACAGGTGTCAGACGCCTTCGAATATCACTCGCACTAATAGTAATTGCTCGATAATGCTCGAAGAGTGATCCGTATAGTGATCTAAATAAAGGAACAGTATAGTAAATAGAGTAGAGAATCGCGGTCTGTATAGTAATAGAGGATAGAATAGAGATAGCGATCAATTAGACGTCACGCTACCTTCCATACTTACGCTTTTTCTCTATGGTCACGTGGTCTACTTAATTCAATAATGGGATCGCCTGTGTTTGCACATTGGCGATCCATGTTCAAATTCAAGTGTCGGCAGCAAAACTTTATTCCTATATAACTGTAAATGATTGAAAACGACGTTTTATATTAGGAGCAAAAGCATTGCAGATTCTTCTTTGGATTTTGCCAATAATATCTAGATACATACCCGAAGCACCAGACGAGATATGACTGCATTATTCAATACACGGACGAATGTCAGCCTTATAAATTTGTAGTTTCCTGCGAGAAAAATGTCTAGCGCTACACAGTAAACCATCTTTCCTAGCAGTAGACATGGCAGTTGATTCGATATAATCGTTTCAGTTCATATCGTTGGAAAATGAATAGAAATTAGAAAAGAGTGTCATGGTTGGTAAATTGTCTTAGCTAGCTGCGTGTTTCCTAACATCGCCAGTTTAAAAAAATAATGAATTTAAATGATGCTGATTTTGAATGCAGTCGAATAGAACTTCCTTATGTGTAAGAGCGGAAGCACACACTATTTTTACGTCCTTATATTTGTTGCGTGAGTTTGCTGGTTCAAACCACATCATCTACAGAAACAACTTCTCTTTTTTCCGGGCAAATCTGAGAGAAATAAAGGGTTTGGTTTGGTTTACGGCTTATCAACCTCAATGGGTTATTTAATACCGACAAGATTTTTATTGCTGGTAATATTTCTTCTATCTATCTATCTATCTATCTATCTATCTATCTATCTATCTATCTCAGTATATATTGGTTTAATTTGATTTGTTTTACGGCTTATCGACCACAATGGGTTATTTAATGCCGACAATATTTTTTCTTCAAAAATATATTGATGGTAAAAATGTTTCCAAAAATGGATTGCTGGTAATAATTTTTTCTTCAAAATTTTATTGCTGGCAATTTTTTTACAAATATCTATTGCTGGTAATAAAAACTATATTAACAATTTTATCGTGTTTTGACCCTATTTTGGGGGTTAACTATTTGCCTATAGCTGGGACTCTAACAGGTGCTACCACCCCTGGTAAGGGTGGACCTGGGAACCCCAGCAATTAAGAGGTCGTTCCACGCTCCTTAAAGCCTCCTGATTAGAGGCCTTTCTGTTGGACGTAGTTTATCTAGTCTTACCCAGGACGCGGATTTTGCTTATTGTCATACACAGGGCGGGAAATTAAGGGCCATATAGGTGAAGATATATTTAACTGCGGGTACAACTTTCACTTGAGACACTGGTCAAGGAAACTATTTCATATCTATTCTTCGTTTCAACAGATAGTGGCTTATTATCTCTTAAACGACGCCTCTCTTCACTGTGCCGTTCTTGAAAACTTTTCTCGCCCGAATCTATCATATATAGTGCAATCTCGGTTCTCGAACAAATCGGTTTTCGAACAGAAAATTCGAAATGCCTCGGTTATCGAAAAAATTTTGGTTCTTGAACAACATTCCCGAACCGAGTGAACACGAATGGAATCATTTCTGAGTCGACCACCATTTTGTATACATTCTTGTGTTGTGCTGTGCTTTTCTTTTCCAATTTTATTGTACTGTGAATTTTTTTCTCTACATTGATTCCTATTGGAAAAATAGTTTCGGTTTACGAACATTTCTGGTTACGAACAGGCCGTTCGTAACCAGAAATGTTCGTAAACCGAAACTCCGAACAGGAGCGAATTAAATTCGTGAACTGAAGTTCAACTGTATAAGTCTACCATTCGTTTATGCTTCGAATATTGTAGCATCATATTATCTGGTGCTCCTGTTATATATTTAGGGATCCTTGATAAAAGGCAAAAAAAGTTATTGGTCCTGACCTGGCATCTCGGCTTCAGACACTTTCCCACCGCCGTAACATAGCTTCCCTGTATCTTTTCTATAAATATTTTCTTGGTAATTGTTCTGATGAACTTTCCGCTGTGGTTTTGTATGTTCATTTCCCCCACCCTTTATTTCTATCGTCACTTTCTTTAGTTTAATTCTCCTTCCCCTCTCTCGTTTAAGTGAACAGAGATGTCAGTTCTCTGGTGGATGTGGGGCACCTTTCGAAAATCGCGTCTGTGTTTCTTATTTGTTGTGTTTGAATGAGTGCGTTTGTGTGAGTGTTTGGACTAATGAGTGTTTTATATTTTTCAAAAGGCTTGCATCGATTTCGTCAAGTTAACTGATGTTTCTGACGCAGTTAAGTATAGAGTTTCTTTTTTTTATTACTAACACTATTTTTATTTAGTTTCTTGTAAATAGTTTTTGATTCATATTTGTAAATATTCTTTGGGTATTAGATTTTAAATTTTTGTTTTATTCCCTTCCCTAGACAGACATAATTTATACATATGGGGTCTAGTTAGGATTTTCATAGAGACATTGAGGTATTATGGTGAACGTACTAAGAATGGTAAGTAAGATAGCGATATTTTGGTGAAAGGGATATGGCGGTATGGGTTAAGGTTAGTGATTGTGTCTAGCTAAGTTAAGACAGATGAAGGCCGTCTCGTTTCCCCATTTGGTTTTGTGAGATATTTTTCATATGTTTATACAAATAAATAACTCTCTTTGCTATGGTACCTAGGCTTGATGTATTTACGCGAAGTACGAGATTGTTGGCAAGGTCTCACCATTTTACAGTTAAATTGGTTAGGTGTAAAGCTCTAGGCTAACACTTTCCCGAACCCCCGACTGGATGTAGCTCTGTCCGCACTCCATGAGTTCAAATAACGTTCTTTTTTCCTTGTTCTGTCTGTCTTAAATTGGTTGCCTATTGAACATATATCTCGGCGAGAAAACCGTCTCCTATATTATCACTTCGTACAACACGTTATTTTTTATAATAGACACGAAGCTACTCTAATTCTAATACATATTAAAGTCATATTGAAAAGAGCTCCGTATTTCACACAAGTGTTGAATATTCGTACTTAAAACAAGCCAAAATGCGACCGCCCTGGGTAAGACGATAAACTACATCCGCGTCCTGGGTAAGACGATAAACTACATCTGTGTCCTGGGTAAGACGATAAACTACATTCGCGTCCTGAGTAAGACGATAAACTACATCCGCGTCCTGGGTAAGACGATAAACTATATCCGCGTCCTGGGTAAGACAATAAATTACATCCAACAGAAAGGCTTCTGATCAGGAGGTTTTAAGGTGTGTGGAACCACCTCTTAATTGCTGGTGCTCCCAAATAGTTAACCTCCAAACTGAAGTCAAAACGTGTAAAAGTAGGTTTTTATACCAGCAAAACTTTTTTGTAAAAAATTATTACCAGCAAAAAATTTTGAAGAAGAAATTGTTACCAGCAATACATTATTGCCAGCAATACGTTTTTGGAAAAAATATTACCAGCAATATTGTTGTAGCATAATTACGGACGATAATGGGTATGTCCTCATTCATATAACTACAGTAGTAAATACTGGATATTGATCTGCAGTCGGAGTTTCATCTCCAGCTGTGCTGGTCAAACGCTCTGCCTTCGGGCAGAGATAATCCCCAGACGAGAATGTTGCATCTATTTCATACAAGTTAGTGACATAAGCTCTTATACTCTATACACTAAGTTAATCATGTTACCAGCAATAGAAATATTGTCGGCATTAAATAACCCATTCAGGTTTAGTTTGTAAAACTAAACCAAACCAAATCAAAATGCGAGGCACAATTTGATTTTCATTTCTCTTCACCTTTATGAACTTACATTTTGAAAGGCGGTCATTTTGAAGATGACGACCCTGATTAATTGTAATGCATCCTAATAGTAGCCCCAATCAGAAGATCTTTGAAAAAAAGGTATTCACAAGAGAATCAATGAGTGAAGTGTTTATCTCTGAGTGGAGAAGGATTGATCAATGTAACAATTTTTGTCTCTTGATCCACAAGATAAAATCTAAACAAGGAACATTATCGTTCTACGTATCTGGCGTGAAGCCCAGTAGGAAAACATTTCAAACCTCATCAGAAGTACAACAAGGTGGAAATAAAAGCCACAACATATTCTTCTATTTTTCTAGACTATGCTCTGCGAATTTGCAAGCACAGATGTGAAGAGATAGCCAATGACCACTTAAGTATTCCATATCACATCCCAAACCAATCAACCAATAGAAGACAACAATCCTGCTTTCCCTCCCGAGGCCAACGTATTGATAATGATTCGGAAGTATGCTATTCTGTTATGTATTCATGGTTGGGATAATCATAATCCTGATTTGTTTGTTTAATGGCACATCAACCTCTTATGAGTCATTTAATGAAGACATTTAATTTTCTCTGTAAATTTGAATTAATCTTGCCAGATACCCTGACCTGTTAACAGGTCGCCTCTCCACATAATTTACTCCGCGATGTAATTTGGAAAAACATTCTTTAAATATATCAGGAGTTAGTTTTAATGGTATTGAGATTTGCATTAGTCAATGTTTTTACATGCTGTTATGAATAATCAAGAGTGGCCTCCCCATTTTTTCGCTACACTCCTCTTTGAGAGAGCTGTTTCTGTTTATTGGGACTATAAAAGGACACTATACGTGAAGCTTGTATCCTCAGTTGAATAAAGCTTTCTTAAAGCCTACACCTGCGTACTTTTGTCATTACACATGCTATCCGTAGGTATAAGGTCGGAGGAGAGATTTAAAGTATTTCCTCCCCTTAATTGATATTATAGTAAGTTGCTTCACTTAAAATCACCCCCAACAAAAAACAAAAAAAAAAAACAACCAACAACACTCCACGCCATATGTTCTTCTTACCTACGTACATATATTCACTTACTAACCCTGTGGCTGGTGCTAATATAATGGAAGAAGAAAAAAACAAAAACAAAACAAAAAAACAAGCCAAATTCTAAATACCTTAAACTTGTGAGTGCTATACCGGAGAGCCTTATTGTTACGAAAAAACAAACTAACAGGGCAGGTTTCGAATATCCGTCGTGGGTGGAGAGAACATGTTAACTTAAATTAACATTAAATCCATTGGACACGTGGGTTTGAGAGCCAGTTAATGCCAGCTAAGAAATAAGAACCTAAGTTCCTTCGGCAGGGTAGGGGAAATCAATTTATCTAAATATTTGAAAGCTAAAATTCCTTTGGTCCCTCGCCCGCGAATACCTGTCTACGGTCTATAACAGCTAAAAGGCCCCGTATCAAGGGCGGCTAAGCCAGAACATTCAAACCAATTTGCTTAACGAAAGAATACAAAATGCAAAGCTCGTTAAGGTGAGAATCAATCAGTGACAACCTATTAATATTTAAATGTAAATTTTCATTGGATCCTTGTAAAAGAACTGTTATGTTTGGTATATCTCTCTGTGTAGTAGCAGCCGTAGGATAGTTCTCCGTGTTAAGTTTAGCAAACGGGTTTGCTAAGTAATCATATTTGCTAACCGCCCCACGCGGTCAGATGTGGCACAAGGCCAAATTTAACGTGGGTGGGGGAGAACCCGTAGGCTCGGGCAAAAATTCCCCGTAGACCCCGTAAAAAAACGGAGTCGGGTAGCTATCTGTCACCCCAGACGAGACTCTGTCCTTCGGCATAGCCTCGTCTGGGTTCCTCTCTTCCCGAAGGCAGAGAGTTTGACTAGCTTAACTGGAGACGAATCTCCAACTAATTGCCAAAGCATGTCGGGTTTGCTAAGCAATGCCCCTATGTTCACCAGATGTTCTCTATTTATAATTGTCTATCTCATTTGAATTCTATACTACAAGAACCAATTAATTTTTACATTTATTACCGAAGAACCCATTTTAACAAAAGCTACAATCTAATTCACACCGTACAGAAAGATCAACAAACTCACTAACATTCCAACCGGCCAAGAAAAAGAAAACAGTCTCAGTAAACATGGGTCATTCTAAGTAGTTTTAAAGCGAAACGTTGCACGTGGAACTAGAACAGTCTACCCGGGTGAGCAAAATAAAGGGTTCAGTTCGACATTCGAACCACCTGAAGATGGCTGGAGCGTACAACGGCCGAAACGTTGTAATAAATATGAAAAGTATTGTTGGTAATTTTACTATAAACATGTATTATTATATATTTTTAGAGTGACATTTATTGTCATTTTGTCCATAGCTGGGATCCTAACAGGTGCGACCACCCCGGGTCAGGGTGGAACTGGAAACAACGTAAGTTAATAAAGTAAAAAATTAAAAACGGTACATCAGTTGGAGATCCAATACAACTCATTTCCGGAGAAGTGAGATCAATCGCTCTTAAAATGAAACCAATACTATTACAGTTTGCGGACATCGAGAATCGTCTCATCTTTACCCTTACGGCATTCACCTGGAAGTGTCTTCTCACAAAAATTGACTTTCCCAGACACCA